GCTCCTAAACTAAAAAAAAATATTATAAAAACAATTGAACAATAAAATAATAATGATTAATTCATACCCCCCCCCCCCCCCCCCGGGCCCAGTCTCTCTCTCCTCTCTCTCTCTCTCTCCTCTCTCTCTCTCCCTCTCTCTCACACACACACACACACACACAAACACACACAGGCACGCACACACATTTATACATTGTGAACTAATGGAAATGGACAGACATAATTGTACATGACAGACAGTTTCAGCTTTTTTGTAAGAGCTTTGCGGCACTTGCAACACAAAATAGGATAGGTGGGTGGTTGGCAGGTACTCTGATGTGGCTTGCCTCTTCTTTCCTATCAAGCATCTATCGTCCTTTTCTCCCCTACTTCTTTTTTATGTTTGTTACTCCCTTGTAACACCTCTGATCTTCTGGCGCTCACATGACCTCTGATCTTCTGGCGCTCACCGTAAAACCTCTACTAAAAGCACCGTAAAACCTCTACTAAAACTAAACTAAAAACAAATAGGATAGGTCATATTACTAAAGAGCAACAAAGAAAAGGCAAAGAGATAAGGACGATAGAAGATAGATAGGAAAAAAAGGGCAAACAACATCGGAGCACCCGCCTAACCACCGACGGATAGACAGTGCAACATTATAAGAGACAAATAAATAAATAAATAAATAAACAGATAGATAAATAAATAAATAAATAAAGCACTGAAAGGTCCAGGGGTATTTTTCTACTTGCCATACTGTAGACCTTGGAGGTACAGATCCATGCTGAGGTCTTTTTCTTGGAAAAAAAAACCCACAATAAACTTCACAAACTAGAAATACCCACTAAACGTAAAGTCCAAATACTAGCAGAACAATGCATTACTGAGATTCAAATTTTACTTATTAAAATCCTTTTAAAAACTGAAGAGAGAGATAGAAGCACTGAGAAAAAGAGGGGTGAACAGTATCCTCCGAAAACAACGCCAGACACTACTTGACCCACAAGGGATGACCTCACTAAACAGCAGGTATTT